TTTGCCACCTACTTGCGATTATTTTCTTAGAATACATTCTTAGAAACCAAATAGCTGAGTCAAAGGGGTGTACATTTTGGGGGAGGGTACATACCAAATGCCCCTCAGAACATTTACACCAGTTTGTTCAGCATTTAAGAGTATTCACACCCTTTCCAATGCCCATATTTTTGACTCAACTAATTACAAAATGTTGGAGTTTTTTAAGTTTATGAAATTAGAAATATTCATCATCAGTTTGCTTTTATGTTTGGATAAAAAAAACTTCTTTTTCTTTGTATCTGTGCCTAAGATTGTCAGCACCATTGTGTAGGGATCCAGACATTTTAGCATGTCTCATACATGTTTGCCTTGGGCCTGCAAAACTTTTCTGGGTATTTTGGTGCTATTTTGACTCACTGATGAAGGAAGCCAGAACCTGGCCTAGAGATGCTGCAGCTGCCCCCTGCTGGCTCTGATGTGTAGTGCCATCTGAGAAGGTATAGCTGGGGTCCTGCTGCCATTTCTTAAAAAAAAAAAGTGTTTAAAAAACTTATTTAAATTTACGGATTTTACAGAGAGAGGAAGGGAGAGAGAGAGAAACGTCGGTTTGTTGTTCCACTTATTTATGCATTCATTGGTTGATCCTTGTATGTGCCCTGACCAGGAATCCAGCTTGCACTCCTGGTGTTTTGGGATGAAGGGCTACCCGAGCTAGGCAGCCAGGGTGTGCTGCCCTTTTCTAATAGCAGCAGCCCCTCCTGCTTCCCGCTATCACCAACCCATTCCAGTATTTTCTAGTATTTTCAGCCTGAGAAGACCAGAGTGCAAGGTGAGGAACTTTTTAATCGTTGTATCCTGGGTAGCGGCAGATGCTGTTAATACCGGGAAAGGCTCACTGGCATCGTGTCCATCCACGGGTGAGAAGTGTGCCTCTAAAAGGAGAGTGTGCAGCTGTCTGTGTGGAGGGGGGCGGGGCTCTGACGGTGAGGAATTAAAGCAAAGCATCCTCAGGTACCCGTGGCCTCCTGAGATGATGGCTTTGAAAGGTGACACCACAGCAATGTGTTCATTTTGAAGAGAGAGCGAGATGCATGCAGATACAGTTACACTTCAGGTGTCCTGGGCTCGTCAGTCTGGCACCCTGAATTGTTAGGAACAGAACCAACATGTGACCACCAGAGGGGGGGGTCCGAGCAGGAACAACAGAGGTCCTGAAGCCTGGGCTCTTTCTTCATTAGGAAGCCTCTGCCTTACAACTGGATGCTCTTGTTTCACAGTGCCGACAGGCTTTCTGCACCCTCAGTGCATGAGGAGTGGCCCATTAGCTGGACCTAACTTCCATCCATAGGAGCAGCAGATGGAGATCAGTAAGAAGTGACCTCTGGCACAGAGGAAGGAAAGCTGCAGATCAGCTTAAGAAGTTAAAAAGCCCCCAAGGGTGGGGTCATTGAGTAGAGGGGCAGACATACCACACCATAGAGGTCCCTGAAGGTGTCAGTGCACAAAGACCATGAATCCTGTTGGACCAAAGTTCTTGTCAGAGAGTCATCACTGCTGAAGGGCCAGAGGGAGAGGAAGTCAGCAGGGTCCAAGCAGGAATACCTCTGGGCCCGGCCTCCACCAGAAGTGCACGGACAGAGCTCACCTTCTGTTCCTCCGGTGCCTCCTTTCTGTCCATCACACTTCGGCCTTTCTTTTGATCTGGTTTTGACTTTGGTGGCTGGTGTGAGGCAGGGATCTTGTTTGATGTGTTTGTTCCTGTATGGAGACCTCTGTCCCGACACCATTCATCAGTAACCCATTTGAAGAAAAATCTTTCATGTTTCTCCTTTGCTGCTCCACAGACTACTTCTGAAGCTAGTTGTGTGGGTTTTTCCCACACCAAGCAATTCTCCAGTTCTCATCCTATCCAGAATTAGCACAGACCCCACAGTGGAAGGGCTCAGTCCCACTAGTCTGGCCCCCTCGGCTTCTGTTCAACTTGGCTGCAAATTGGAGATTCCTACGACCCCCTGCTTGGGTTCCATAATTTGCTGGAGTTCCTCTCTGGAGGACCCAGAGCAGTTTACTTACTACTGCCAATTTATTACAAAGGATATTTTAAAGGATACAAATGAACAGCCAGGTGCAGAGATACAGAGGGTGAGGTCTGGAAGGGCCTTGAGCACATGAGCCTCTGTCGCTGGACTCGAATGGCGCCCCCTCTCCCGGCACGGGGATGTGTTCACCAGCCTGGGAGCTCTCCAAACCCCACAGTTTGGGGCCTTCCATGGAGGCTTCATCACATAGGCATGATCAGTTATTAAACTCAGCTTACAGCCCAGCCCCTCTGCCCGCTCCAGAGAATGGGAGGCACAGCTGAAAATTCCCAGAGTATCACGGCTTAATCTTTCTGGTACCCAGCCCTCATCCAGGATCCCAGCAAGAGTCTCCTCATTAAAACAAAAGACACTTGTGTCACTCAGGAAACTCCAAGCAGTTTAGGGACTCTGTATCAGACATTGTTGTCACTCAGGAAGTTACAAGGCTTTTAGGAGCTCAGTGTTAGGAACCGGGTCAAAGATAAAATAGGAGAAGAACGGGGGGCAGAGCCGATATGTGTATTTCTAATTTCATTTCACATCCATCTTAACACACACACACACACACACACCCTATCTGCAGTGTTCCTTCTTACGTGAAGCACATTTCTGTGCGGGCCTGGGTCTGTTTCTGGGCTGTTTCATTCCACTGGCCCTGTGGAATGGTCTGTTCGCATTCTGGTCCCACACGCACCGTAGCTTTATAGTCCGCATTGATAACTGTAGTGCGTTTTCCCTCCTTATTCTTCTCTAGGATTGCCGAGTTCCTTGCAGAAAACCTCCCAGTTAGGAACTTTATTGGAATTTCATTACATTTAAAGACCAGTCGAATGTCACTTTGTCCCATTCTTCCTGTTGTGTCCTCCTGGAAAGTCTGATTAAAAGTGTCAGACCATCTGAATTATAGTTACTTCAAAAGACTATATGGCTCTTAATTTCTGCTCAGATTTCTTTATAATCTCATTTTCATATTTTTAAGGCTCTCTTATTTCTTAAACTTGGTATTTCATAATCCATGTCTGACAAATCTCATATCTGAAATTTTTGTGAGTCTGATTCTTCCGTTTGCTGTTTTTGCTGGCTCTGGCTCATGTTGTCTTGTTTCCTTGCATGTTATTTAAAAAAAAAACTATGACCTTATTATTTGTTTTCCTTGGAACTTTATCTCGGAAATTCTTTGAAGCCTGGTTTGAAGATGTTTTCTTCCTACAGAGACTTGGACTTGCATTTCTGTCTGCTAACCCAGGGATACTTTAAATTAAATGTCTGGCCCAAGAGCTTTCTGCCTGTACAGGTGTCAGCAAACCCACAGGAGGGCCGTTTGTATATTCAGTCTGACCTGAGGTGAAACCCTCAACGCTGTCAATTACTGTGTGACCTCAGGCAAGTCATTTATTCTCTCTGCCTGTCCTATCATCTGTGAAATAGTGATAATAACACCTGCCACCTAAGGCTATTGCCAGGATGAGATGGGGTAATGTATATAAATAAAGTGCTTGCGTGCGGTTCTTTCACACAGTTCGTAAGCAGCGAACATCATTCTCTTCCCCGGAGGGGCCCCCCTGTCCTGCCCAGGCAGTGGGGGTGACCTAGTGGGAGCCACCAGCTTAGTCCAGTTTCTCTCCTGGAGGATTTTTTAAAATATTTTATTTATTTATTTTTAGAGAGAGGAGAAGGGAAGGAGAAAGAGTGGGAGAGAAACATCAATGTGTGGCTGCCTCTCATATGTCCCCTACTGGGGACCTGACCTGCAACCCAGGCATGTGCCCTGACTGGGAATCGAACCATGATCCTTTGGTTCACAGGCCCGCGCTCAATCCACTGAGATACACCAGGCAGGGCTCTCCTGGAGGATCTTAAGTGAGGATGGGAACCAAGTTCTTTGACCTGGCTCCTGTGACTCGTTCTGCCCAGAGCATTGAGATGACTGTGTCTCCCAGGCCTTTGGGAGATACTCGGGCTTCAGCCTTGACTGAGGTCCAGAGTTGCCTAGGAGGCCACTTGGGGCCAGGTGACAAGAAGAATGACATTTAACAGACCCAATTTCTGCTTCAGGTGCTGCAGGATTTTTGGGTTCATTGCTCGTGGTTTCCTAAAAAAATACTCTTTGAAGTTAAATGGTGAAATATGAATAACAAGACATTAGAATTGTTTATAATCTCAATCATGGGAACATATTTATAGCCATAGAAATGGAAATAAACAGAAAGTTGTATGTTGGCATGTAAACATTATAAATCCTTTGTACAATAAGGAATATAAAATGTTTAATAATATGCATCAACTACATTGAGAAAAATGGGGAAAAGCAAGCTGGATGGAAATATGTCAAGGTGTTGGTAGTGGTCACTTCCGAGTGGTGGAATTCTTGAGTAATTTTTTCCTCTGATGGCAGAATGGTACAGATAAGGGTCAAAGGGTGGCCGTTGGGGTTGGAAAGTCTTGAGTTGAGTTGGTGCCTGTGTGGCCTTAGACAGACAATAAGCTCTCTGGGCCTTGGTTCCCCCACTGTTGGGCTGTTCTGAGGACCAAAGGAACAATGGGTCCAAAGCGCCTAGCCTGCGATCTGGCACAGGCTGGCTCCATGAGTGGTGGTGATTACTATTTTTATACAGCTGTATTCTCTCTAGATTTTTAAAATACTGAATGTGTACTACCTTATAATCAGTTAAAACTTAACAGCCACAACAACAGCAAAGACGGTCTGTGCTTTGCTGACAAAGTATTTTACGTTCCCAGGTTGGGTGAGTTTCCAGACTCTTCCCTAACTCTAAGGATGGGGCCAGAGCTCTTAATACTTGGGAGCCACTGCACTGGGGGTAGGGTGGGCTGGGCAGTGGGTCTTGGTCTTGGCCTAGGGAAAGGAGGGGCTCAGAAGACAGTGAGCAGCAGACCTGGCTTTAGATAAGCTGAGCTTCTCCCTTCTGTCCTGTCCAGGGCGCAATGAGCCCCTGAAGAAGGAGCGGCTGAAGTGGAAGAGCGACTACCCCATGACGGATGGGCAGCTGCGGAGCAAGCGGGATGAGTTCTGGGACACAGCACCTGCCTTCGAGGGCCGCAAGGAGATCTGGGATGCCCTCAAGGCCGCTGCCTATGCAGCTGAGGCCAACGACCATGAGCTGGCACAGGCCATCCTGGATGGAGCCAGCATCACCCTGCCACATGGTGAGCGGGCATGGTGGGGGGCCGCCAGTGCCCTTTAGGGTGGGGGAAAGCCAGTGGCAGGTGTGGCTAGTCACTGGTTCACTCAGCAGCCCTTAGGAGCATGGACCAGAAGTGAGCACACAAAGGAAAATAAGACACAGCCCCTGTTTGCTCAGTGAGGGAAGGGAGAGGTACTAGCAGACCTCAGAGCAGTGTGATGAGGGCAGGCAAAGGATTTCTCAGGGTGCTTTGGGATCCCCAAACATCTGAGGTACCAACCTTCTGTTGGGTGCTTATGTGCTGGGCACTGAAGTAGAAGCTTCTGCGTTACCTAATTTACATCCGTAATAGCCTGTGGGACCATGTAAAAAGGGAGTAAGGGTAGAGTTCTATAGAGTCTGAGACCTAGGTCTAAGATGTAATATGAGTATCTCTGTTTCCCTACTTTGTGATCCTGAGCTGGGAGCTTCTTGAATTTAAAGCCTCAGTGAGTTACTTCAAGTGGGGACGCCTACCTCATAGGCTGGTTATTGGGATTCAGTGAGAAGCTATAACATCATTTAGTCTGGTCTTGGCATTTAGTAGCTGCTCAAGGCACAGTGAATATATTTCTACATGCAGTGCATTGTAAAGATAACGAAACTGAGGCCCACTAGGTGCACTCCCCAGGTAAGACATGAACAGCAGGGCCTGTGCTATTTCATTCATCCCTGTAACCCCGGCACCCGGCACATATGCTGAGGAAAGAGCTGTTGAATGAGCAAATGGAAAGTTACATAATTTGCCAGGGTTGTGCCAGCCCACATCTTCCTGACTCTGCCTCAAGCTCCTCCCAGCTCATCTAGGGACACACGACTACAAGGGTTGGTTTGGGGCTGTGGGGTCTCCACAGCAGGTGTATGAGACTGCTTGGGCCGCTGTGACAAAGGATCACAGGCCGGGTGGCTCATTAAACAACAGAAGTCACCTTTCACAGTTGTGGAGTCAGGAAAGCGCATTGCCAAGGTGCCAGGAGGATCAGTGTTCAGCAGGAGCCCTGCCTGGCTCGCAGACGGCCACCTGCTTGCCATGTAGAAAGAGAGTGAGCACTGTGGTGACTTTTTAAAAAATTTTTATGTATTTATTTTTTAATTTTTAAACTCTTTTACATTACCTTTTAGCCCCGTTATGCCCCCCTCCCCCAGCAACCACACACTGCGGTCCATGTCCACGAGTTCTTTTTCCTTTTGCTCAGCCCCTAACCTCCCCCACCTCACTGTCATCTACTCTCCATCTGTGAGTCTGTCCCCATTTTCCTTGCTGGTTCATGTTCAGTTCATTAGATTTACATAATGAGTGAAATCATATGGTATTTGTCTTCCCCTGACTGGTTTGTTTCATTTAGCATCATGTTCTCCAGGTCCATCTATACTGTTGCAAAGAGTAAAATTTTCTTTTTTTTATGGCCAGGTAGTAGTCCATTGTGCAAATGTCCCATAGTTGTTTTATTTTATTTTACTTTTTAAAAATATATTTTATTGATTATGCCATTACAGTTGTTCTATTCCCCCCTCCGTTCCCCTCCACCTTGCACACCCCTCCCCCACCATTTCCCCCTTTAGTTTATGACCACGTATCTCAAGTTCTTTAGATTCTGTATTTCCCCTACTATTCTTACCCCCCCCTATCTATTTTCTATCTACCATCTATGCTACTTATTTTCTGTACCTTCTCCCCCCTTCTCCTTCTCCCACTCCCCTGTTGCTAACCCTCCATGTGATCTTCATTTCTATGGTTCTGCTCCTGATCTAGCTGTCCCTTAGTTTGCTTTTGTTTTAGATGTGGTTCTTAATAACTGTGAGTTTGCTGTCCTTTCACCGTTCATCTTTTTTATCTTCTTTTTCTTAGGTAAGTCCCTTTAACATTTCATATAATAAGGGCTTGGTGATGATGAACTCCTTGAATTTGATCTTATCTGAGAAGCACTTTATCTGTCCTTCCATTCTAAATGAAAGCTTTGCTGGATAGAGCAATCTTGGTTGTAGGTCTTTGGTTTTCATGACTTGGAATACTTCTTTCCAGCCCCTTCTTGCCTGTAAGGTCTCTTTTGAGAAATCTTCTGACAGTCTGATGGGAACTTCTTTGTAGGTGACTATCCCCTTATCTCTTGCTGCTTCTAGGATTCTCTCCTTGATTTTAATCTTGGCTAATGTAATTATGATGTGCCTTGGTGTGTTCCTTCTTGGGTCCAACTTCTTTGGGACTCTCTGAGCTTCCTGGATTTCCTGGAAGTCTATTTCCTTTGCCAGACTGGGGAAATTCTCCTTTATTATTTGTTCAAATAAGTTTTCCACTGGTGGCTGTTCCTCTTCCCCTTCTGGTACCCCTATAATTCGGATGTTGGAACGTTTAAAGAGGTCTTGAAGGTTCCTAAGCCTCTCCTCATTTTTTTGAATTCTTGTTTCTTCATCCTTTTCTATTTGATCATTTTTTCCTCTTTCTGGTCCACTCCTCTGATCTGAGTCTCAGTTTCCTTTCCATTACTATTGGTTTCCTGTGCATTTCCATTCATTTCAATTAGTTTAGCCTTCATATGTTCCTCTAATTTGTGACTAAAACCAACCAGTTCTGTGAGCATCCTGATCACCAGTGTTTTGAACTGTGCATCTGAAAGTTTGGCTATTTCTTCATCACTTAGATTTATTGGCTCTGGGACTCTGAGTTGTTCTTGAGCCATGTTTTGAGCTGTTCGTGCCTGTTAGGTATGAGGAGCAGAGCCTTAGGTGTTCACTAGGGTGGGGCCACCCAGGTCGCTGCTTTGTGACGCTGTATGTGGGAGCGGGTCAGAGAGGGACAATGGCAGTCCCCTCTGCTGCTTCCCGCCACTGGGGCCTGCACCATCTGTCTCACCACTAGCTCCTTCACTGGTTTATCTGCTCGAGAATGTGTGACCATGGTCAGCCCTCAGTGAGTCCACCGCCTTGCGCCTTCAGTGGGTCTGCCTGCTACTCCACACCTAGGCTCCGCCCATGGCTGCCGGTGTGCCTGGGTTGCTTGCCCAGGTGGGTCTGGTGGATTTTTCCTGCCCAACCCCGCTCTGCCACTGGCTCTGCCCCTCTTACCGGTTTGGCTGAAGGGTTTGTTGTTGTCCAACTTCCGTATAGTTCAATTTTCTGTGGTTTGGTTGTGTTTTTGTTGCTAAAACTTTGTTGTTTTTTAAACTTGGTTGTGGGAGGAGGCACAGTGCTTCCACCTACGCCTCCATCTTGGCAGAAGTCCCCCATAGTTGTTTTAACCACTCATCTTTTGGTGGAAACTTGGGCTGCTTCCATATATTATTGTAAATAATGCTGCAGTGAACATAGGGCTATTTATTATGTTCTTTCGAATTAGTGTTTTGGGTTCCTTCAGATACATTCCCAAAAGCGGGATTCCTAGGTTGAAAGGCAGGTCCATTTTTTATTTTTTTTTAAGATTTTATTTATTAATTATTTTTAGAGAGAGGGAAGGGGGTAAGAAAGAGAGGGAGAAACATCAACTTGTGGTTGCCTCTCATGTGCCCCCCACTGTGGACCTGGCCCACAACCCAGGCATGTGCCCTGACTGGGCATCGAACCGGCGACCCTTTGGTTCACAGGTTGGCACTTAGTCCGCTATACCATACCAGCCAGGGCCATTTTTCATTTTTGAGGGATCTCCACCCTGCTTCCCACAGTGGCTGCACCAGTCTGCATTCCCACTGACAAGGCAAAAGGGTTCCCCTTTCTCCACATCCTCGCCAGCACTTGTTGTCTCCTAATTTATTGATGATAGCCATTCTGACAGGTGTGAGGTGATATCTCAGTGTGGTTTTAATTCGCATTTCTCTGATAATTATTGACATTGAGCATCTTTTCAGTGTCTATTGGCTATCTGTATGTCTGTCCTCCACAGAGAAGTGTCTGCTCAGGACCTTTGCCCATTTTTTAATTGGGATGTTTGTTTTTTTTGGTGTTGAGGTTTTTAAGGACTTTATAAATTTTGGATATTAACCCCTTATCAGGTGTATCGGCAACTATGTTCTCTCACTCTGTGATTGTCTTTTTTTTCTCAATGATTTCCTTTGATATGCAGAAATGTTTTAGTTTGATGTAGTCCTATTTGTTTATTTTTTTCTTGTGTTTCCTTGCCTAGGGAGATATATATGATACAAAAATGTCCAGGATTTTGCTGCCTGTTTTCTTCTAGGATTTTTATGGTTTCAAGTCTAACTTTTAAGTCTTTGATCCATTTTGAATTCATTCTTGTGTGTGGTGTAAGAAGATGGTCTAGTTCCATTTTTCTGCATATCTATCCAATTTTCCCAATGCCATTTATTGAATAAACTGTCTTTAGCCCATTGTATGTGTTTGCCTCTTCTGCCAAATATTAATTGACTATAACGGTGTGGGTTTACAATTGACATACAACATTGTATTAGTTGCGGGTGTACAGACTCACGATTAGACATTTATATTAACTTAGGATGTGATCACCCCAATAAATGCAGTACCCCTATGACACCATACAAAGTTACTACAGTATTATTCACTATCCCCATGCTGCACTTTACATCCTTACGACTATTCTGTAACTGTCTGGAGTCCCTCATCAGGACACTAATTCTGTTGGATCAGGGTCCCACCTGAAAGATCTCTTTTCACTTTAATTACTCTCATATAGATAGGCCCCTGTCTCCAAATACAGTGCCATCGGGGGTTAGGGCTTTGATGTAGGGATTTTAAGGGGACAAAAGTCAGCCCCAAGCAGACTCGGATGGCCCTGTCTTTCCCACAGGCACCCTCTGTGAATGCTACGATGAGCTGGGCAATCGCTACCAGCTGCCCATCTACTGCCTGTCACCGCCCGTGAACCTGCTGCTGGAGCACACCGAGGAGGAGAGCGTGGAGCCCCCAGAGCCCACGCCCACCGTGCGCCGGGAGTTCCCGCTGAAGGTGCGCCTCTCCACAGGCAAGGACGTGAGGCTCAGCGCCAGCCTGCCCGACACGGTGGGGCAGCTCAAGAGGCAGCTGCACGCCCAGGAGGGCATTGAACCATCCTGGCAGCGATGGTTCTTCTCTGGGAAGCTGCTCACAGACCGCACACGGCTCCAGGAGACCAAGATCCAGAAAGATTTTGTCATCCAAGTCATCATCAACCAGCCCCCACCGCCCCAGGACTGAGGAGCCCACAGACCCCTGGGAAGAGAGACCAGGGAGGGCCTCTGCAAGGCTGAGAGGCCCCCAGGCTGGAGCACCAGGCCCCCCACCCTTCTGCTGCCTTTGAGTGCTGATATTTTCTTCAGGGGCACCTCCCCGCCATACGGCTGCTGGGCGAGCCACCAAAGGACCGTGCCTCCCAGGGACACCGTGCGCCACTGTGCCCAGCACCCAGGAAGCAGTGCTGCCACACAGGCCTTGCCAACCTTGTCAGAGAAAAGGAAAACTGGGGCCTTCACCCTGCCTCTCACCCACAGCAGGTTTGAGCCGTGAGGGCCAGCCTGGAGGTCCCTGAGGCCCAGATCTGTCTGGTGCTGCCAGCTGTGCTCACTCCGGTTTTCTGCTCAGGGTCTGAAGCAGCTGCTGTCTCCCTCCCCTGCCCTCACCTCCTGAGTCTGCCCTTGGCACAGTGCCAGTCCCCTAGAGGGGAGGGGACCGCTTGTGAGCCCCAAAGGCAGGGTGCCGGAGGCCAGCTTCTGTCTCTCCTGCCCCCAGCACAATTGGCAGAGATGAGGCGAGTGGCTGGACAGCTGGGCTGCTGTGCCAGGGGTCTGCACAGGGCCATCCCCTGGCTGTAGTCCCAGTGGTGGGGGGTCTGCAGCCAGTCATGGCCCCACAGCAGGTCCCTGTATACAGACATATCCGCATATTTATCAATAAAGCCTTTTGCTCCATCTCTCGTCTGGCTTTGCCTTTAGGCTCCGCTGCAGTTCTCTGGAGCCCCGGGAACCCATTCTGGTGTGGGAGCAGGTGGGTGCACGCTCCGCCAGCTGCTCCGGGTGCAGCGAGAGTACAGTGGGGCAAGCCTGGCACTGCGAGTGCCTGGGCTGTGTGTTCTCGTGGGTCCTCGGGAAAAGCCACTTAACCTCTGAACCCACTTTGCTTGTTTGTGAAGTGGATGCGATACCTTCTGCCTTGCCTCCTCCTCCCTCTCAGTTGCTGGGAGGATTAAGTGGACTGACAGATGTGAAGAAGGCAGCATCTCAGAAAGGTCACGTTAGTTACCTGCTGGGCCATGTCTGCAACAGGAGGGTGCTGGCTTCCGGCTGCAGCCCTTGAGCCAGCCCCCAGGACTGAGATGTGTGCGCACATCCCGGAGACCCTGCGAACTTGGTGTTGTTAAAGCCAAATCTCTGAAAAATTTAGAGCATGATGGCTTACTCAGAGAAAAAAAGGAGTGGTTCCTGGGTGTCCTCGGGGAAAAATGTGCATGTACGCAGAGAGGGAAATCTTAGATAAGGTGGTTTAGCCAAGGGCAGGCCACGTGAGTGTTGCAGAACTGTAGGGCTCTGGTGGCTGTGATTCACGGGCAGGTTAAACACTGGTCATGGCAACCCAGGGCTGGCTCCCACAGTTCTAGGTGTGGGGCTGAGCAAGTTCATGTCTGCTTCTCCAGTTGGGATTATTTTTCTTTCTCAGTGAGCACGGCTGGTCCCCAGTCAGGGCGGCTTGGCAGGGAAACAGGAGAAAAGGACGGTCATCGGAGCTGGTGTCGTCCTCTGGGCTTGGCGCTGCACTCTGGCTCTTCCACCAGTTTCCTGAGGCCTCTCTTGAAGCAAGACCGTGCAGCTCCTGCAGAGGCCCCCTGAGACAGACAGGTGGCTGGCTTTTTGTCAGGGACTGAAGGATATAGAGCCAAACGCAGGGATGCTTTTCTAGGGGGCATCGTGGAATCCCAGGGAGGCAAATGCCCGCGTGAGCTGGGGCACAGAGAGGCAGCCGCCCTTGCCCCCACCAACCACCCGGCACTCTGGCCCGGATAAAACAGTCTGCCCCTTCTCAGAGCCAGCAGGGCCTGTTCACAGGACAGCCTGGGGACATAGAACTGTCTTGGGTGCCCACATTTGGCTCTCAGGCCCCCTTACAAGCACTGGCTGGGTATAGTTTCTGGGCGTCCAGCAGGTGGCACTGCCAGCAGCGCTAGGGGCAACCAGCGGGTCCTTTGTGCAGCCCAGCTGTCCTGGCTAAGGACCAGCTGGGCCCAAGCAATCAAGACGGGCTGGGCAGGCTCCTTGTTAGCCCCTGCTCTCAGGGTGCTGTGCCCTTTGGCTCCAATAGGCCAGAGGTTGTGGGGGGCAACTGTCCTTGCCTCCTCCTGCTCCCTGGGGCTGCCCAGGGTGAAGGTGACAGGTGGGGGAGGCAGGTGGAGAATTGAGCCAGTGAGCTCATGGCAAAGGCGCCCAGCAGGGCGGGGGTGGGTGCCCTGGTCTATAAAGCCCCTGTGGCTCTTTGGCCAGCAGAATCGGGCTATGGACGGCACCATGGCGGGCTCCGAGGCGGTGCAGAGGGCCACAGCACTTATTGAGCAGCGGCTGGCACAGGAAGAGGAGAATGAGGTATGGGCAAGGGTGTGGGTGCCTGAGGTGTTTCCGAGGGAATCCAGCTCCGCTTGTCAAGGGAAGGAAGAGACTGGCTGCCACACCTGTGGTGGGAAGAACAAATGTCCTTGGGGCTCCATTCCAGCCATAGGGTGCTCCTGGTGGAGCAGAGGGTTGCTGGCAGTGGGAAGCTAAGGCATCAGCCCCAAGAATGGAAGAATAGTAGGGTGGGTGAGCTATGCTGGGCTCCTCCGAGACCCTGCTCACCCGCCTGGGCCTTGAGACATGACAGGCCGCACAGTAAGGCAGCTAGGGAGCTGCCTGGGAATGTGGGTCCCTGCGATCCCCCGGTTTCTGCGTGGGAGAAGGGGACAGGAGAAACTCAGTGTTGGGTCACTGAAGAAGAATAAAGACTGGGAGCAGAGGGAGGGAGGGAGGGAGGGCGGGCCGGATGCTGGGGAAGGAAGCATTGTCTCCCCAGGACGGCAGCCGCACTTGGGGAGGCCTTTGGAGCATGGGGCTCTGAGCAATTGCATTTTCTCTGGAATAAAGAGATGGGAGAGGAGCGTGCGAGCTTGTCCTACTCCTCATTTTATTTTAACTCATACTTGACCTAGAGTCTGCTCTGCCAAGGGTCCAGTGCTGGGAGGAACGGCAGGACCAGTAAGCCAGCCCCTGCCTCCTTTTTACCAGCCAGCATGCAGTTTAGCCAGCACCTTCCAGGTGCACGGTCACCTGAGAAACAAAGCAGAGTGAGGGAATGGTGAAATGGAGGTGTTAATCAGAAGTGAGGGAGCACCAAGGGTGGGTGAGTCCTTCCGGCAGTGGCTCTCAAGCACGTCTCTATGGACAGGGTGGCATTGGAGCTGGGCCTTTGAGAGTGGTGGGTGGAGATTAGGACGAGGGAGGGTATGGGGGACAGGCTGGGGGAAAGACAGGTGTTAGAGTTTGGGTGCAGGGCAGCATGACTGTCAGGAGGAAGTCTGGTAGTAGGGGCCGAGGCTGGGAAGGGAGACAGGACGAAAACCAGAGAGGGCCATGGGAAAGATGCTTATTCTGTGGGCAGTGGGAGCCACTAAATGTTGAAGGAGGGAGGGTGGTGCCATCTGACCTGTTTTAGGAAGGCAGCTTTGATAGCCCTGAGAAGGACTTGTTGGGGGGGGGAAGACTGGCCCTAACAGGAAGGGAGGGAGAAGATAAGTCAGCTTTGAGGTAGACTCCATGCAACAAAGAGAAGAGGGGTGAATGGGGTGAGGAAGAGGGAAGCAGCCAGATTGCAGTGGGGGAAGAGATGACTCGGGGAGGGACGGCAGGCCTGCAGGGAAAGAGCTTGGACCGAGCCTGCTGAACCCTGGCCTGGGCATCCTGTGTGTGCAGGAATGCCACTTCCCACTCCCCAGGGCATGTGCATCAGTGCTGGGCAGGTGAATCATGCCACTGTGACATTTTTGGAGTGCTGGACACAGAGACCTTTAGCAAGGGGACGGAGCAGTCCTCATCCATTCATTCATACAACAAATATAGCAGCAGGGCTCTCAGGACTCTGGGTGCCACAGAGCCAGCCGTCCTGTTGAGTCTATCCTGGGTCCAGGCACTATGCAAGGTATCGTACAGGCATTCTTCCATTCAATCTGTACACCATCTATCAAGTAAAGTGGAAGTTTTGTTGTGTTTCACCAGCTAGCACCCAATGCAATAAGCATGTACTGAGCACCTACTGTATGCCAGCCCACAAAGACAAATATGAAGCTGGGACCATAGAGTCTGAGTAAGACATGATGGGCATTAGAGTCCCCAGTTGTTCCCATCAGCCCCGAGCCCAGCGTGGTCCTCAGAGGAAAGCCTCTGTCCAGCCTGTGCCTTCTTCTCGGGGTGGGAGGGGAAGGATGATCCTGGAGACTGGCCCAGGGAATGAGACTCTGTTGAGAAGTATTTATCAGGTCAGGTCATCCCTGGGGACTTTGGGGTGGGCAGAGATGCTGGGCCCACCTGCAACCATCCATTCACCCATTCATTTATTCTCCAAACCTTGACTGAGCACCTACCATGTGTGAGGCCCTGTCCCAGATTACCAAGATGATTCTCTTCCCCCACCCTTTCACTGCTCCATGAGGAGCCCAGCCAGGGTCCCGCATGCAGTAGTGGCTGCAGCCCTAGGTCACCTCTTGTCCCTGGAGAAGATGCAGTGTTTCAGGAGAGGCCAGCACTGGGGAGACTTCAAACCGTATAAGCCCGACATGGAGGGGAGAAGCCAGTGGACAACAGGACCGCCCAAATAAAGACCTGGGAAATCATCCCTCAAAACAGCCCTTGAAGAGTGTAACCCCGGAGCTCAGTGGGAAATGCTGAGAAGGCAGCTGAGAGCTCTGTAAGGGCGGCCATGCCTCCCAGCCGCCCTCTTGATAAGCGCCCTCCAACCTTGCGAATGCTCTGAGCGCACTGGGACCTCAGAGATGGGGCACCACCTCTCCACAAAGGGTGGTTTCCTTTAGAAGACAGAGGAGGAAGTAGTCCAGGCAAGTCGGAGCCGCCCCTGGAGAGGAGAGTTGAAGGAGTTCTACCTGTAGTTTTACAGTGAGAATAGGGTAGAAGAGTCCACCTCAGGCTGGAAGCCGGGCACTTTGGGCACCCATCTCTTAGGTTCCCCAAGAGCAACGGTTTTTTACATGTTAGGATTTCACAGATTGGGGAAATCTGGGGGGAAAAATTGGCAGCGGACATTGATTTGCAAATTTTTATATTGCCAAGTAAGCTGTTTTAAAAAGTATCATCTCTTATCACAATTATTTCAGCAAAGTAAGTTTTTAAGGCCAAAAAAGTTTTTAAAATAATCTTGGTGCTTCAAAAAGTTAATATATGTAATTTCATGCAAACTCATTCCAGTAGCATTTAATTTTGTTTGTTGGGGAGGCAGGGACATCAGTGGGCAGGTGTTTGAGCTGGAGTTGGGCTGGGGGTTGAGGTGGAGAACTGAAACTTGCCCCCTTTGGGGGGTCTCTCCAGGAGCCCTGGTCTGGCCAGGGGCCCTCCAGGACCAGTGAGGAGTGGGGCAGAGGAAGGGCTCTGAGGCCACACAGGAGGAGGTCCTTGGAGTGGTTAGGGAGAGGCCACCTGCCTCCCCAGGCCCTGCAGACAGACCCTGGAGCACGCTCTCCTTGGCTTCTCAGAAACTCCGGCAAGAGGCCCAGCAGAAGTTGCCCATGGACATGCTGGTGCTGGAGGACGAGAAGCACCACGGGGCAGCTCCCAGCCTGGCCTTACAAAAGGTTAAGGTAAGTGGGAGAATCCAACGCCGGTGCTCAGGCAGCTGTGGCCTTGCTCCGCTGAGTGTGGTCCTCGCAGCAGCAGCAGCAGCA